GCCTGATGGCGGGGCTCAATCCCAGGACCCTGGGATCATGACCTGAGCTGAAGGCAGACACTTAACTAACTGAGCCACCCAGGTGCCCCATCATTAAAACAATTTTTTAAATTACTGAGTATATGTCTACTAAGACTTTGCTGCTCATGTGTATATATCAGAGTTAATTTTGTCAGCATGTATTGTAGTACATAATGATTAACAACCAAACTGAAAGTTTTTGAGTATCTAAAAAATGTGCCACTGGGTTGTGTTGTTTACAATGTTTGTGAAGGTTAAATTCTGAATAAATCTTAGAGTACAGCACTAACAGTGGTTTCTTTCTTTTTTTTTTTTTTTAAGCTTTTATTTATTTGAGATAGAGAGCAGGAGCAGGGGAGCAGAGTTAGATGGAGAAGCAGGCTTCCGGCTGAGCAGGGAACCTGACGTGGGGCTCGATCCCAGGACCCCGGGATCATGACCTGAGCTGAAGGCAGATGCTTAACTGACTGAGCCACGCAGGCACCCCCTAACAATGGTTTCTTATGGATTGCTATTTTTTTTCATAGATCCATCAAGAATGAAATTTTCGTGTTGCCTCAAAGTCTCCCATTTTGCCTTGACACCTTAGTGCACATATGAAGGCCCCATTTTCACCTCTAGAATAAGAAGGTCTTGGCAGTTACCTGGACAGATCAGCCATCCTTCACTTCTGCACCTTTGTCAGATGCCTCTGATCGATAATGGTGGTTTCCTGGTCAGCCCAATTCCTGTCTTTCTCAAGACAGAGCTCCCTAAAGTCCTTACCTTTTTTTTTTTTTTAAATCAGGATTGACCCCTTAAATGAAACCAATTCGCCATCTCTGCTGTATGCCAAAGGCATCCATGTACTATTCCACAGCATGACAAATTCTAGAGGACAGAAAACCTCTACATGAATGGTTTTCTCTGCAATACAAACATCTTGCTTTAGGAAATATCAGTGAGTTTTTTGGGGAGCATAACAACAGAAAGCAAAATAAGCCATGAGCCTGTAATAAAAAACAAGGACATGTTCTTTTAATTACAAACACATTTTTTTTTTCTGGGAGAAACAGAACAGCAATAAGAGAAGGATATAGTTTCAAACAACAAATCTATTTCACACAAGTGTTTGGTTGATTTATTTCATTGTTCAGCAGGCAATAAAAGGTGTTCTGTAATCATGTCTTTGCATAGCATAGCCATATTTGAAGATGTTGCTATGATGTAATAATACTTTAAGTCATGTTGGACCTCTGATCTCCATAAGCAGAAAGATAGTTAATGGAGTGTATGCCTCATTAAAATGTAAACTTTTATATGTTCTTTCAAAGTGGTTATGTTGGATAGCATATAAAAGATCACAGACTATTTACCACAGTTATGGTTATTACTAATTGATTCATGTACTGTCACTAACAAATGGAAGTTTTGGCTCTAGAGCTAAAAACTACCAAATTCTACTACTAGACAAAGAAAAGAGAAAGAAAAGAAAGTAGCTTTTTTGGAGAATACTGTTTCAACATGGCATTAAGTACTAAAGGAAAAATTATCAAGTCTTTGAAGCCTTCCTTAATATTGGTTAAGCAACAAGACAAATACAAGAGTATTCATGATCGTTAGGGCCTTTCTGCCTTCTTCTCTTGAGACTTCCTTTAGATTGCATTCGCTAAAGAAATTTAGTGTTAGACATAGTGTTACTCTACTAAATCAGAATATCGTACCTGGGGCATATAGAATGCTACCATAAAAATAACATGAGGAGGGACCCATCGTTCATAATAGTGTTATTGAAACAACACAGCACTGTTCTTTGTTTGTGACTATACAGCATGCCCAAACTGAATCTTAAGTTCACTTACAAAAGTAGTGATGGTAATGGCTTTTAGCCCCAAGACCTGCTTCAGATCATACAATAGGCAGCAAGTTGCCTAGAAAAGTGATTTTTAACTATTAACTAGAGCTTTGGCCCCAAATCCTTGACAGAGAAACTGTTTATTCCCCCAACCAGTGCTAAAACCCCGGTTTGGAACTTGACAGTCTGATAAGTCTCGAACAAAATGAAGAACAAGAGAGGGAGTTTCTCCCCCTTTACCTTATAGTAGGCTGACCAGTACCACTCACCCCAAGGCTTCTCATGAATAGGCCCAGCTGCTGAATGAGTAAGAAAGCAAAAAAGGAGAGAGATTTTCCACTCCATCTAAAATAAAAGGAGGAGAGAGATGTCAATGTTGTGCTCTGCTCTTGCCAGATCCAGAGAGAAAATTTTAGGATTGAGCACTTAAGTGCTGGAAAAGTCCATCACAGCAAACCAGTTAATCACTTTGCACCTCTGGAGGAGGGAGTGGGATTGGGACATGGTGGAGGAGCAATGGGTGGTGAAAGGGTCTTTAACTTTTAATTGTATGTAACTTTATAGTTTGAATTGTTTATAATTGGAATGTATTCATGTGTTATTTATGTCATCAAGTAGGGGGGCAAAGAATCAGATTTTGCCAAATAACACAGAGGAAGGGTCTTTGAGGGCAGAAATAATGGGATAGCAATGACCTAGATCTGAAAGCTCTAGTCACAGGACACTGAAAACCAGTATGGCAGGAGCAGTGTGGGCTGTGGCAGGTGGGGCAGGACAGATTGATGGGAATGAGCTTGCGGGTGCCTTGCATCCCCTCATAAGGACTTCGGATCTTATTCACAAGTGGTGAGAGACTAGTTAAAGTAGAAATAATATTTTAGTAATAATAAAGCATAGCAAAAGCATTCAAAGACATTTTTGAAAAGGTTCATGCATACCACTGTCACTACTCTTTTTGTTCTAGTCTTTACCCATCGTACTTTTTTTAACCTATTTGTAATCACAGTCTATATATCTTTTTTTTCTTTTTTTGAAGATTTTATCTATTTATCTGACAGAGAGGGACACAGCAAGAACAGGAACACAAGCAGGGGGAGTGGGAGAAGGAGAAGCAGGCTTCCCCGCGGAGCAGGGAGCCTGAAGCAGGGCTCGATCCCAGGACCCCGAGATCATGATCCGAGCCGAAGGGAGATGCTTATTAATGACTGAGCCACCCAGATGCCCCTATATATTATTTTGTGTTCTGTTTTCACCCAATCTTATAAGAATTTTCCATGATACTACTATGGAAGATTTTAAGCAAGGGAGTGATATGATCAGCTTTGTCTTTTAGAAAGGTTACCCTGGCAACAGTACAGAGATGGATTGGATGGAAAATGAATCATAATGGGGTAAAGGGTAGGGAATGTGTTCAAGAGATGTTTAGGGAGTTCTGCCCCAGTGGACCAAAAGAAGAGAGTTCTAGCACAGACATAGAAGTTTCTTCCTGAGTCCATATTGGTAGTTGAGAGCAAGCCTTGCTCCTCAGCCAGATAGAAATGCTGCCTGATTCCTCTTGGAAAGCCCTCCTCTGCCTTCAATATTTTATGCTAGTTTCAGAGATCTGATTTCATTTTGAAGTAGGCTGAGCTCCGAGAGTCTCTGCAGAGTCTAACCCACTGGTGACTAATTAACAGTGCATGAAAGCAGTTTTACTTGTGCTAGGCAGCACTTGCAGATAGTGCACAGGGAATAGTGTTAATACTGTACTTCTTTAGGTACTTTGCCGGTTATTCCAGTGGTCCGGAGAGTGTGTGTGTGTGTGTGTGTGTGTGTGTGTGTGTGTGTAGTAATGATAGAGGTTCTGAAAACTTTTTCTTGAATGAATTATTGTTATTATGGTGTATACATTAATTGAAAAACTTGCTACATAAAGTTACTTTCAAAATGGTATATTAGGAAGGGAGCACTAGACTTAAGCCGTGGGGTAGATTCTGCTGTTGCTGCCCAGTCTTATAGGGCAAGTCATTTAATCTCTCGTGCCTAGTTTCTTCACCTTGAAAAATGTAGGAACCTCTACCGTTTCAGCAATTCTTTTCTTTTTGCTAGGGATAAAAAAAATTTTTTTGATCTGTAGTAGTTGATAGAATAATATACTGTAAGTTACATTTTGTCAGTAATAGCATGGGGGCTATTACTAAATATGGTTTGGGAAGCCTATGAACTAGTTTCCACTGTAAACAGCCTTCATTAAAATCTTTAATTTTAAGGTTGCTTCAATCTGTACTTGAAGGGCATTCTAATCTAGTTTCACTGTTATTTAGCAGACTGGTAGAATTAAAGACCAAGTAGACAGGGTAGCAGGGTGAGAAAGGTTTGGGGGTTGCTCTCCCCCACCCTTTCCTCTCTGTCCATCCTACCCCCTTATCTTCCTTCTTCCCCTCTTCTTCCTTCTTGCTGATGAGGGCACAAATCTCACATGTCAACGTAGTAGATACCGCTATAGCAGATTGTAGATGATAGTTAATCCTGTATATTTTTAGAGACTTTAACACTGTTTGAAATTTTACTTCTATAAAATCTCACTTTAAGTTTTAGCTTCTCTTTTTATTTAAACATAAAAATCTCAAAACTGTTCAGGTCATAGAAAATTCCTCTTCACTAATTCATTTAGAAAAGACTTTAGTAAATTGATTCTCTATAATTTATTTGTTTAGACATAGGTGCATACTTTGCCATTTCCAAAAAAAAAAAAAAAGATACCCGGTGTCTCCTTCCTTTGCTATTTAGAATTAAGTCATCTTTGAAGATACATTTTCCCTTAAAGTTACAGGATATTTTATTATAATTGAAAGAGTTGGAAGGAACCACAACATTATAACTTCCTGTCAGATGCTCCACAGTGAACACAGACTTGGCTAAATAAGCCAAGAAAAGCCTTATTAGCTCTACCTGGAGAAAAGCACTGTCATATTTGGGACTTCATGAGGTTTGCATATTGCTTTGCATATATATACATAAAGTTTCTTTGGTGACTTCCTGTGTTTGATTTTAATTTTTGAGTAAATGAGATTTTGTAAAGGTGGATATGTTCTATTGGCATAATGTCTATTTAAAAGAAACCACTACTGTCTACTGAAAAAAAAACACTATTTTGTTTCCACAGAAACCTGCTAATATTTTAGTTATGGGTGAAGGTCCTGAGCGAGGAAGAGTAAAGATTGGTATGTTTTATCTTTGATAAGTCACAGTGTAGCACTCTTTTAACCCTTTTGCAGTCAGCAGTATCACTTCTAACTTTTGCTGTATTAATATGTGTATATTCATGTAGTTCCTTCTGATCAAAGCCATTTCTAAAGAGTTTACATTAAAAGTGAAAAATGTTTCACACTCTTAAAAGGTGTCAGACAATCTTTATAGAGATTGAAGTGTTCTAATTATAAAATAAGCCATGGAAGTTTCTTAGAAACCTTTGCCTTCATTAAAAATAGCCTAGGAGGTGAGTAGCTTCTATCCATGTTAAAAGCCAGCCTCACCTTTAGTCGCAAGGGCATATAGCATACTCGTAATTATAGCATCAGTTCTGTTCACCTGAGCCAGATGCGATCAGAACATTTGCCTCTGTTGACCTTTCAACATTAGGAATTACAAACTAGGAAAACCGCTGAGGCTGGATAGGTATAGAACAAATGAGCCTGTGTTATAGAAGGCCTCTACCTGATGGGAAAAGAAAGTAACAAGCATTCTGTACCTTGGCATGTTTTGTAATAGCTCTGTTTTCTTATATATCAGAGCAAAATTTTACCCAGTTCTGGTCTGGTACCTATAAGGATAAAACTGAATTTATTTATTCTAACTGGTTTTTTTCATTGTCATTTCTAAGTTGTGTTTGTCACATTTATTTAGTTTGTTTTGTGTGTGGGTAGAAGAAATGTTGTAACTAAATTATGTTAATTTAAAGGCAGCAGGATTGTGGGAGTTTATAAAAAAAAGTAAAGAGTAATTTCTGATTGCAACATTTAATATAAATTCAAATTATCAGCTAATTTGTACCACTTAACCAACAAAGAAAAACCTAAGTGTTCTTAACCCTTCTTCCCTTTCTTCCTCTATAAATTCCCCATCTCACTTTCCACTTTTAATTAGACTCTCAGAATACTCTTTTATCGTACAAACCTCACAAATTTTTTAGTGTCACAAACATTTGATGTACCTCAAAGTACTCCTAGTCATTGACTCCCTTTGAGAGCCAGGGCCTGTCAGTACCTACTCTACAGTCACCAAATGCCTATTAAGTCCTTACTTTGTTTTGAAAAGTCCAATTTGGTTGCATCAAGTTCAAATGTAAGTTCAAAGTGTGCAAAATAGATAAGATCCAGCCAAACAGTAGTTACAGACATGTTTTTTATTAAGATTTGGGGAAATTTTATATAACAAAATAATCTAGTTTGGACTTACATGTAATGCACATGATGTTAGCAGGTTTGGGGGGATACTAACGGCTTAAAGCATTCACATTTAAGAAGATACATTAGTTCTTCTATAAACCAGTATTTAGTAATCTGAGTCATGGTTTTAATTCTTTACCAAATTTCTGTGTGTTTTTTTTTTTTAACCTCCTTAATTAAGTAGGTTAGACGAGGGCCTACTTCATTAAAAATGTATATTAGGAGAGCAAAACCAAACAAAAGGTGGATGAATCTTGAAATTTTTGATAGGTGGTATGAATAGGTGATTGTTCATTCGATGTGTATTTGATAAAAGCTATGTATAATGACACTAGATAGATACTAAAAGAGATGAAAAAAGACAGTTTTGCCTTTAAGATTATAGTTTAATAGGATAAACAGTCTGAATAACTGCACTACATATTAAACTGTGTCAAATGCCACAACTCCAGTTCTGAGCTAGGAGTTTATGACATTTGTCATATCATTTAATTTCTTTTGAAAATTTTTTTTCCTCCTGAAAACGGAGGTGATTGAACTATATGACCTTTTAAAAGGTCTTTTCCAGCTTAAAAAAATTACTATGATTCTTTAAAGTTAAGTTAATAAAATTCAACCCAAATAAATGGGGAGGGGGCAGATAGTGGTGTTAACATACTGTATAGTCAATTTCTGATTACCCCAGTGATCAGGCTTATTGATGCATATAATGGAAAGCCTTACTGTAACTGATCTAGTTTCTCAGTGCTTGTGACCAATACAAAGAATGGACATGCAGCTTAACAACCCTGTCCCGAGTGGTGGCGTGACAGGCAGAAAGAAATCTGCCCAGGGGTGTAGGGTCACCCTTGACCTCTGGCAGCAAGCATATCTATAACCCAGGTGAAGAATTCAGCACATTTTCCCCATCTTACTAAATATCAGTGGTAAAATTAATCAGCTAAATTTGTAAAAATCTATTGACTTAACATTATCTTTTTTTTTTTACAGCTGATATGGGCTTTGCCCGATTATTTAATTCACCTTTGAAGCCTTTAGCAGATTTGGATCCAGTAGTCGTAACATTCTGGTACCGAGCCCCAGAATTACTTCTTGGAGCGAGACATTATACCAAAGCTATTGGTGAGTAGAACTAATTAAAATTCCATGACATTTTAAAAGTGGCTTTGTTATTGTGAAATATACATATTTCTATATATTAAGTCAAATAATACAGAAAATTATAAAAGTAAGAACAAAAACTATCCTAAAATTCCACTACATAGAAACACCATTATTAGCATTAGGAATGTAATATTCTAGCCATCTCTTTCTGATAGATAAATAGATACTTTAAAACTTTTTAAATATATGGGATCACACTATGCATTCTAAGTAAAAATGTATTTTAAATTTTACTTGAAAAGAGAAATAAGCACGGTAAAATTTCTAAACCATTAAACTTCAGACAAATGTTTCTTTCACCAAAAGAAATAGTTACTTCTAAAAGATCCCCTTGGAGTTAAGGAGAAAAAATTATGGAAAAAAGTAGAAGTTTAGAGTATCTTTAATTCACTTTTCAATTTTTGATTATGTTGATTACCTCCCTACTCTGAAGAATTAGGAAATTAGTACTCTTTTACTTCTTCCCCACTGACCTCTCAATTTATAAGCTATGTTAGAAATACATTGTCATTATTATTACTACTTTGTTGATGTTTACGACATTTATTTTCTATTTACAAACCATAATTCCCACAGTTTATACTCAGATTATATATTGTAACGGATTCAGTGCTCAACTACCACAGTTCTTTTACCACATCTTTACCATTACTGACATCTTTATTCTGCCTCATTTTATTTCATTGAATTTTATCATCGCGTAATTTTCTTATGTGCTTTTCTTTTCTTTTTCCCTTTGTTGTATGTCTTTACTGCTTACCTAACTTGTTCTGTGTTCTCCAGAATGCTATTGGGTCTGCTTTTGTTTTTCTTGGTTAACTCCATCCTGAAATCTTCTATGCTATGCTGTATTCTGGATTGATTTTCATCCTGGCTTTTTTTTTTTTTTTTAAATCCTCTGAGTTGGATATATTTCCTTCTGGGCTTTATTATTTTGCTAAAGCATATTCTCAGCTTGCTTTGGAAGGGTGTCTTGGAGGTAAATTTTCTAGTTCTTGTATTTCTGAAAAATGCCTGTGTCTTCCTATATCATGCAGTTTGGCCAGGTTTAAAATTCTAAGTACAAAATAACTTTCCCTCAGTATTTGATGATGCTCTTCCATTGTCTTGTAGCATGAGTGTTGCTAATGAAGATTCATGTCAGTCTTGTACTCATTCCTTGGTGGATTACCTGGGTGGTTTTTCTTTCCAAAAACAAATAGGATTTCTTATCCTTATATTTCACAGTAATGTGCTGGCCACTTGGTAGGCACATTCAATATGAAGTTCATATCCCACATCCCATGTCTGTGGAAAACTCTTAAACTAGTCTTTGATTTCTTCCTCTCTGTTTTCTGTGTCTCTCTTTCCTAAGCTGAGTGTGGGCAGATACTGGACTCCTGAGTCTGATCCTTTATACCACTTTCCTTATGTTTTTCTGCCCTTGTCTTTTTTCTCTAAGAACCCCTTCTTATTCTCTATTAGTTTTTTGTATTATTTTATGGGAAAAAAAGCATCTCAGCTATCTGTGAGGATGGTGATAACAGTGCTTTTTAATTGTTTGTGATTTGCTGTATTGCTGGAATAATTGTGTGTTTTCTTTATAGGCTCTCTTTTTATTTATATGTCTTGGTCTTTCCCTTCCACGTGGCAAGTGTTCTTCCACTATTTGTTGACCCTCAATTATCTCTTCGTATTTAAGAATCAGCTTACAGAAAAGTACTTGGGAACTCTGTGTACATAGATCATGGGGCTCATTGAGTGGCAGATTTCAGGGTGATCTAGCAGAGAACTACCATTAATGGAGGGATCCCCAAGTGCTAGCATGCACAAGCCTTTGTCCGGAGGCCATTCAAATTCTTTAGGGGAAGAGTCTTCCAACTTCAGGCTCTAGTTTTGTATACCTGGTAGCTCCAGGGCAGCGGAGGGGAGCAGGAGAAGGAGAATCAACTGTTCAAAACACAGACTTTGGAAAAAAAAAAAAAATACAGACTTTGTAGCTGGTCCTCTACCCAGAGTTGTACAAGACAATCCTGCTTCACACTCAGCAATAATACTGTGGCCTGGGGCCTTCTCTGAGCTGTTCCATCTGCCTTCCATCTTCCCGAAGTAAAGTGTTCTTATGTATCTCTGCCTAGATCAGGTCTTCATATGGCCAGTCTCTTTTTTTTCATTCAGATCTTAGTCAAAACACTACCTCTTCAAAGAGAACCTCAATGGTCACAGTATAAAGTATACTTTATACTGTGTAAGTATAAAGTAGTGGGAAGTTCCCCATCCCACTTCCACCTTACTGCCTTGATAGCACTGAATATTATCTAAAATCCACTAAAATAGATAGACCTTGCCTAGCTGGTCACCCTAGTAGGCCAGTGCCTACATGGTACACAATGAGAACTCAGTACTCTTTGTTGAATGAATGAATGAATCTTGTCCCCAGTGATCTCCTCTTGTTCTTTTTGTTACTATGGATCACTATTACCTTTCTTACTTTGCTGCCATTTCAGTGTATACTCAAGAAGGGAAAAGAAGAAATATTTGTGATCATTCCCCCGTTCCCTCATATTAATCTTGAACCCAACATGCGTTTCTTCAGATAATCTTTATGTTCACCAATCTTCATAACTGCTTTGAGATCACATTTCATTTTATAAAAAAGTAAAGGTAGATAAAGTTAAGTCAGTTAGATACAGGACTTCTCTGTACTACCTTTGCAACTTTTCTACAAATCTAAAATTGCTCCAAAATAAAGTGGTTATTTTTTAAAAAGTCAATTAGAAGGAAAAGTAAAAATTATTGAAGCTAGTCCTGTTTTGGAATACATATTATTACCTACACATACATTTGGTTTTCTTTTTTTATAAGTATATTCTAAGTGCTTAGCATATAAACCAATATGATGCATAGCTATTTTTTCCACCTAGGAAATGAATATTTAAAAGCAGTGTTACTTTTGATAAGACATATTAACAGACTACACAAATAGGGAAGTGATTGCCTGGGATGCCTGGGTGGCTTATTTGGTTAAGCATCTGCCTTTGGCTCGGGTCATGATCCCAGCGTCCTAGGATTGAGTCCCACATTGGGCTCCCTGCTCAGTGGGGAGTCTGCTGCTCCCCCTGCTTGTGCTCTCTCTCCCTCTCCCCCTGGCAAATAAATAAATAAAATATTAAAAAAAAAAAAAGGAAATGATTGCCTAATCTTAGCTGTTATCAACTGAAAACTTGAGACTTTGATTTAATTTAAATTAAAAAATATTCTATCTCAGAAGCTTGTGACTCTGACTTACTATTTATTACCTTTTTCTCAAGAAACTTATATTTTATTGTGAACATTGCAATTTGTTTAACCTATTATTATTCACTAGGACAATCTACAATCTGGCAGTTTTGATGCAGGGCTGTTTGTCACAAAGCTAAACTACCAGCAGTTAGGTAGATTCCCTTGTTCAAATGGCTTTATAATTTGCAAAAGAGAAGGCCTTTCTTCATATTTTTCCTCTCTTCCTCCTTCTCATCATCAAAATTTATTGGATAACTCTTAGGTAAACTTTTTAAAACTTAAGAGAAACAAAAATGTATGCAAATTAATCTGACTTGTAGCCTTAGCTTTGTCACTCAGGGTGTGTGTGTGCACGCGCGCGCTCACGTATGCACACATGCTCACCCTTATGCAAAGCATTTAGTTCTTTAGCTTCATTTTTTGAAGGTGAGAATTTAGACCAAATCATCTCTTAGGTCCCCTTTAACTCTGAAAGTTCTTCTGTGACCTTGGATAAAACAGTTGCTTCTGAGGTAGGAAGATTACAGAGGGAACTAACTGGGGTGCAGATGATTGAAACCAAGGTCAGGCCAGACCCTCTGCGGTGGTGACTTTCCAATCTTGGAAAACAGTTTTCTTTTATGAATACATTGGCTCAAAAATGTTACAATATGGGTATCTTTCAAATTACTTTTTTTTCAAGAGAGATAAATTATACATAAGCCATTTTTAATATAAATTTTTAAAAATAGAATAAAGGAATAAAAATGAATACTTCTTCCTTGATTCCAGTCTCTCCCACACAATCCCATTCCACCTATTACTTACATAAGTAGCCCGAGTGTCCATTAAAGTACAAATTCCCCACACCACAGTGAAAGCTACTTATCAAAAACTTGCCTAGCTTTTTTACTTCCCTGTCAGATAGTTGTAGTTTGAGCAGCTAATGGAAGAACTTTTATAGTTGAATGCACAGATTACTTATTCAGTAGTTCATTTTAATGGCATCATTTAGAAAGGTGAAATCTGCTAGTGGAGTTTGGTGGATTATATTAAACTGAAGGGTACTAAGAAGCAGCTAAAGAGCACAGGGAAAAATGTTGCTGTCCTCTATTACAAACAGATTTTAGTGCTGCAGTCTTTTATTCACTTGTACAAAGCTGCAAGCTGAATCATTAAACCAAAGGGAGTAAATAATAGGTTAGTAAACATTGTACTCCCAGTGACAAAGTTTAATTCAGTTTTGAGTGTTTTGGTGTTTTGTTTGGTTGACTTCATGGAGAAGGCTGAAAGAGGAGTTTCAATCTTTAATCATCACTAAAGCAGTCTTAAAGTTTTACTAAAGTATGGACTTTTAAACTCAGATGTTTGTTCTCAAATAACTGAATGCCCACTAATTATGTAGCATTCTATTAAGTGAGAAATATACTATAAGATAGGGAGAATGAGAATTTACATCTATTGATTAATACATTATTTAACAAGCTCCCCTCCCCCATTTGGGTCTACATAGCCTGCTAATGCTATCTGCTTAGCCTAGTTAGCTCAATAGCTACACAAAGCATCACAGATTTTGAGAAGTAGATGAGATTTATATGTTTTTACTTTGGAAGGTCTTTCTAGAAGGAAATAGGCAGGTAGGTGAACAGGAAAGGACTTTTCCATGAACTTGGCACATTCTGAAAAAAAAAGTCAAGAAGGAGAGACTTATGTACACAGATTTAGAAATTTGTCTGAAATAATAACCTGCTTAGCTAACTTAACTTCATGATTAATGTCTGGATCAGGATTTTGAAGAAAGGAAGGATGATGAGATTGCCAAAAGGTAAGAGATAATAGAAAAGATACAGAGAAAGAAGTTATGAGGGTAAGGTTAAGCAAGGTTTAATAAACTATTTCTTCCTACTTTCTGACCTTTTATTTTAGAAGCAGTGTTGCTTTAAGGATAGCTACACTACTTACCTCTCATCTTCCTTTACATGTTAGTTTTCTTTAGTATTTTTCCTAGCTAACCAGAATGAGTTGTTAACGGTGTCTTTTGGATGCTATGAGTAGAGTTTTAAACATGCAAATTGACCCATTGGCCCTTTTCATGATGCTCCGCAGCTTTCCTATCTTCCCTTTGATGAAGATTCTCATAAGTCAAGTTATCATATGGGGTATATATGTAAAAAGAACAATCATAAAATAATTTTTCCGTTTACTTTATGATACTAAAAACAAAATAGCTTGGCTAGTATCTCTTCATACTTTCCTATATGGTGGTATTGGCTAACGTGGTTCTCTGGTGTGGGAGAAAACAGATACGCAAACACTGTCCTCTTTAAAACTCGCTTGCTTGTAGTAGGGTGTATCATCTTAATAAATAGATAATTGTTACTCTGAAATACATAAATATGATAATTTTACATTAAAGATCTATATTCCAATTGTAGATTTTAGGAATTCTGAGTTATTTTATAAATTAACATTTTTTTCTCATTTTCTATTTATGTGACAATTATTAACATACCTGAACAATTGGCTTTAATAAAATAGTGGTTTTTATTTTTCCCTCTATAGTTACTTATATTTACCACACAGGTATTGGTTAGATCAGTCAAAAACCACTGATTGCTGTGTGCACACCATTGTATTTAGCGTAGAGAAGTTAACTTTGCCAGTTTAGGGCTTTGTTAAAGTAGGACCTGAATAATTTCAGTTTTAAATTCTGAAGTGGCATGTAGATCTTTCCTCTATTAATAACAATTCTATTGAGTAAAAGTCTAATATGAATGAAAGTTGGCTTATATCTTAAAGTGAATGAAAGGAATTTGTTGTACTACAGAGGAATCCATTTTGCCTGGCTTTTATAAGTAATTCTAGTGAATTTATACCTTTATACCTATCTTAAAGATAGTGTTTTGCTCCCTATTTTCTTGTCCTTATTAAATTGCAAAATCTGACAGTACTGTAGCATAAAGAAATACTTTGAACAAAAAACTTGAAGTAAAAATGCAGTTTCATTAGAATATTTGAGGTCAGGCATTGTCTTTTTCCTATTGGAATAACACCTTGCTAACTAGTGCTAGCATGAGACGATAATTATTAGACTTTACAAATTAGCAAGTACGTAAACTATCTAGATAAAGAAAAAATATTTTTACCTCAAAAAATTGTCCTGATTGATTGTTTTTGGCAAGTATGCCCAATTTCAAAAGCTATTTGGGTTTTCTGTTTTTGTTCTATTTTTTTGTTTAATTTTGTTTGTTTGTGGTTCCTGTGCTCCATATGCAGCTTTGTATGTATTTCACAGATAAGGTAATGTTTGAAGCATTTAAAAATTGACAAAAATTTAGCTAATTTGATTTGAACTTGGAATGAAGCCACTGGGTGGAATGGAGGTGTAATAGGGAATGAGAAATTGGGGTGGGTCGGGTGGGAATATATATTTATAAACAATATTCCATGATATTTTTAATGATAATTGCTTTAGGAATTAATATGACTTACTAGGAAAAGAAAAGAAAGAAAAAACACTCCCCACCAAGATAAAAATGCATTTTCTTTTGGAAAGAACCACTTTATTTTCCTCCTTTCTTTTTCTTTTTTCCTTTCCTTTTTTTTCTTTTCTTTTTTTTTTTTTTTTCTTTTTGTTTTAAAGATATTTGGGCTATAGGGTGTATATTTGCAGAACTACTAACGTCAGAACCAATATTTCACTGTCGACAAGAGGACATCAAAACTAGTAATCCTTATCACCATGACCAGCTGGACAGAATATTCAATGTAATGGGATTTCCTGCAGGTACACATTATGTTTTTGTTTTTGTTTTTAAATCACTGTTGTTTGAACTTAGATATCTTCATGGGAAAGGTGTATATCTTTAGCTGATGAAAGCTACTCTTACTCAGTTCTTTATGATTTGCATTAATCAAAGATCCTTAGAAATAGCAAAATTTATAGAGTTCACATATTAGCATAAAGATATTTATGGGTTTTCTGAATTTGAGGAGTATATTTTTGTTTCATTTTATTTTTTTGTTTTGTTTTGTTTAATATTTGAAATGATAAAATATTTGCAATATCTGAATTAAAAGGTGCCTTTAGTTCTTACCAGGGGAAACTAATAAAATTCAGTAGTATGTATTTTTGTCTGGCAGCACATATAATAATACCATTACTTGGGATTTAAATACAAATTTTGAACATTATATATAGGGCACTGTACAGAATCACATTATATTGAATAATAGAATTTTTTACCCTATAACCCTTGCCAGTAAGAACATTCTTTTAAGTGTTCTATTAGAACAGCAACCTTGCCTGCACCGATTGGCAGCAGGGAGAAAGTTGTTTAGGTGTCTCATCACAGGCGTTAGACCCCTCAGTTTTTCAGCAATATCCCCATCCCTTGTTATGCCATAGCAGGGTAGTTCATCAGGCACTAAAAACTCTGCCCAGAGGCCTAGAATAATGAAATTTTGCTTTAAAAACCTACATAATATTGGCTAGTCAGGTATTTATTAGAAATTGTTTCTTATTAGGAATTTTTCTCAGGTCAGGGTAACTCAAGACTAATACAGAAATACCTGGGAGTTATAATTTCACATTCCCTTGTAGGAGTGTTAACACAGATACTACCTTTCTGCAGAATTGGTCAACAGGCCCTGTGAAGACTGCTTTTTTGTGATGAGAATTTTATTTATTCACTAAATATTTGAGTACCTGCCATGTGCCAAGCACTGTGTTATGCATAAAATAATGTTGATATAACAGGCATGATTCTTGCCTCCTTGGAGTTTATATTGTACTACTCTAAGTAGAATGTTTAAATAATAGCTATAGTTTGAGTAGATGGAGAAGAATGGCCTTTTCTTCCCACTTCTGAATGTGTCCACCATTTCTAAGACCCGAGAGAAAGGAACATGGCTTACAAGGGGGTGGAAGAGGGAGGTGGCCTCTGTAGGAAATGATTTTTTAATGTGTAATTCAACAGTTAGGGGAGGCTCAGCTTATAAGGAAGTTGAAAAGCAGGCAGTAGGGTTTAGATTTAATGTGCAAAAGAATGAGAATCCATGATAAGTTCTTGAGAATTAGTGACATGGTTTATGTTATATTTTAGAAAGATTAGTATGGTTGTGGTAGGTAAAATCAATTAAAGAGAGGTAACTGAAGTCAGGGAAGCCAGCTGTTTCCCTGTATAGCGGTACTCCAGGTGTAAAGTGATAAAAAGGATGGAGAATAAAGGACAAATACAGAATTTTTATATGTAATTGCAGGAAAAGTAAAAGATTATCTCAGGATGTCTAGCTTGAGAAACTAACAAAATAGAGAAATTGGAGCAAGGAAATAATTAAGGAGAAAATCCCATGTAGGAGTTTAAAGTATGTATTTAGTTGACTTTACAGTGTGGTATCTTTGGAGGCTAGGTTGCACATATCTCTCTAAGTAAGTTGAAGGCAGATGTCTCAAGGTAGCTGTGAAGCTACCTGTCGTAGTACTGAGGCTAGTAGTCTTTCCGCACAAGGCCGTTGACAGTGATGACGAAAACTAGCCCTCTAGCACGTATTGTTTGAGCAACTCTAAGGCCAGCAAACCACCTGAAACATTTTCTGCCTCATGTAAATAGCTGAGGGTGTTTTCGTTAATGGTGCTGAAACTAGCCAAGCCACCAGCTCACTTATTTGCATACTAGTTATGTCCTACCCTGTTCTATTCCAGACAGTTGTTGCTGCTCACATTGATTGCTGCTGTAAAAACAGTGTATTTAATAAAGTGAACGTAAGGAGGGACATGTAAAAAAAAAAAAAAAAAAAGTGCATCTTACAGCTACAGAGGGGAAAGATAACACATTTGTCATTGAAGACACTGGTTGCTGATTTAACCAAGAAATTGGGTGGAAAGGGGGAAAGAGTGGTTTTACAAACAGAAATAGAAATATTTATTAATAACTTATTCCTCTCTACTTACAGAAATTGAGGTAACTTATAGTAAGTTACATAGAAAGTAAGTACTAAAAAGATAAACTAGAGAGCTAATGCTATACAAGGGATGAGAATTCTATTTATAGGTCAAGATAAGATGTTTACTATAGCTAGTCATTTATTTGAGGTCTGTGCTTTCATGGAGGCTCAAAGTGTATAGGACATGTGATGAAATTGAGGTAACTTTTTTTTAATTCTTGAGAATAGGAACCTAGACAACATAAAATTTTATCAATGTATTTCACAGATAAAGATTGGGAAGATATAAAAAAGATGCCTGAACATTCAACATTAATGAAAGATTTCAGAAGAAATACGTAAGTTGGAAAGAAAGTAGACCCTTTGTTGATTTTTGCTTTTCCAGAATCCTCAGTATAAGATTGAATACTCAACAGAATACTGAACATAAGCTTATTCTAATAAATAATTTTACTTCTTTACTTAATAAATATTTTATCTTTTAAGATGTTTAAATGATATAAAGAAGGTAAACAGCTAATTTTAGTGGCTGATTTGGATATGAGAAAGAAACTCTTACCATACTTAATTACTTTCTGGAAGCGAGCATCAATGGAAGGGATCACAGCTAAAGCAGTAAGAGACTGAAATAAGCAACCTTGCTAGCCATCAGTTGCCCACCCACCTGGGTTGTGTAGTCATTTTAAACAAGTTTTAATAGAGAAGAAGGAATATTTCATTTATTTACAATGCAAGATCATAGCATTGGGAGAGGACAGTTTATAGGCCTATAACAAATTTTTAAAAATTTTAAGTTTATTTTAAGCTTACTAGTAAGGCTGAATTAAACATTTGACCCATATGTTATTTCAGAGAATTGTTGAGATAACAGTCTTATAAAAAAATAACTATTCAGTATATATTATTTATGAAATTATCTTGTGTTTACTCAGTGGTATCCATTCATAAGTGACTAGTGTGAATATTGAATGAAATATGAAATTGAGCTAATGTTATGCCGATTATGCCATTTTCAATAAATAATCTTTATTGGTTGTGATTAAAATAATTGTTTGGAAAAGCTTCAGCCAATGTAAAATTAACCTCAAAATCTAATATAGATATTTCATAGTATTTCTCTTTCAGGTATACCAACTGCAGCCTTATCAAGTATATGGAAAAACATAAAGTTAAACCAGATAGTAAAGCATTCCACTTGGTAAGCTTTAGAGAACAATAATAAAATTTTTTTCACAGATTAGCTAACCAGAGGCTTTTTGGGGTCAGTTTATATGGTAATTTAGCACTTTTAGAGTACTTTAATGATAAATGCAGGCATCTTGTTGCTGCATTTTAGTAAAGGCATGAAAATACTTGTTTTTCCAAACCCTTAACATGGTTTAACAGACTAATGTTTGGTTACATTAGATTTTTTAAAGAGAGTTATTGTGGGGCGCCTGGGTGGCTGTCGGTTGGGCAGCTGCCTTCGGCTCAGGTCACGATCCAGGGTCCTGGGATTGAGCCCCGCATCAGGCTCTTTGCTCAGCGGCGGGAAGCCTGCTTCTCCCTCTCCCTCTGCCTGCCGCTCCCCCTGCTTGTGCTCTCTCTCTCTCATATCTCTCTCTCTGTCAAATAAATAAATAAAATCTTTAAAAAAAAAAAAGTTTTGAAGACAGTTACTGTACCAAGCCTGTGAAGAACATTTTTAAAATTACATTTATTGGTTTTCACGATTATTTTAAAATTTCAAAAATTTCAGAGAAAAATCTAAAAGAAAACCATCCCACTACTCACAAGTAACTTTTATAGATTATTTTGTATTTCAGCTCTTTGAAAGATTATTTATAAAATTTTTAACTCCCAAGATACTCTTACAAACTTGGGTATTAGAAGTCCTTCGGTGGGGACGCCTGGGTGGCTCAGTCGTTAAGCGTCTGCCTTCGGCTCAGGTCATGATCCCGGGGTCCTGGGATCGAGTCCCCCCACATCGGGCTCCTTGCTCAGTGAGGAGCCTGCTTCTTCCTCTCCCTCTGCTGCTCCTCCTGCTTGTGCTCTCTCTCTCTCTGACAAATAAATAAAAATCTTAAAAAAAAAAAAAAAAGTCCTTCAGTGATTGTGCGCATTATTTGCTTTTTCTGGAAGAATATGAGAGATGCAGTATTTATTACTGTATAATGGAAAAATAGTTTGACTTAGAATCTAAATGAATCCATGCGCTATTGTAATTTATGACATTATATTCAACTTGCCAGCTTAAATTTGTTTACAATAAAATTTCCATTTTTACATGATAACAATTAAAAATGATTTTCAGTTTTATGGGTTTTTTTAAAGTTATATAACATACAAAGGGGAAATTTCAGGGAACAGGTTGTATTGTATTTGGCTTAAAATTCTTTTAATCCTTTATTCTCAATATTTTTAAATGAGTTCATTAAATGGGAATTTTTTTGTTTTGAAAGTGTTGTATTTTCCTTTATCACAGTAGCAGGCCACTTGCAAACATTTCTTCTGTTTCTGCTTTTTCTTCTCTGTCTACTGCTTCTGCTTCTACACCTTCTGTTTATTTTTATATCATGTCATATGTCCTTTATTTCATATCAGCAACTTAAAAAGCAGGGCCTAACCTATCTTATTACCACACAATATATTATTATCCAAATAATGGTTTCTTATAATGTACTTACAACAGAACTCAAATAGGAGGGTAAGTTAGATCCTTCAAAATTATGAACTTATTTATTCTAACAAAATAATGATAATAGTGGTAGACCAAAAGTCACAATTCAGGGGACTTGCTCTTACTTACCCCCAACTTGCTGCTATTCAGTGTAGTCTAAAGTGACTCTCACAACCATCATCACTGAAATTCCAGAGATATACTTCCCTCACAGCTTAGTTGCTTATTTTTACTGCGGTGACCTATCTTGGGTGGGCCCATCTGAAAGCTCTAATGTAACTCCTATAAAACCGTTGAGCATTTTAAATGGCAAATCCATGCTTTTCCTTTCAACTCTAAAAATAAAGTTGTGCTTCCACTGAAATATCAGATCATCAAAATTAAATTTAAATCTCACCATTCCAGTGTTTCCTCTGTATTTTTCAGTATTTTATGTCCTTCTGTCCTTTGGTTGTGTCATGTCCCATCAAGTCTCAACGCATCTGTTGGTGTTCAAGTAAGGTGTCCCAGTCCACAGCACTAGTGACCTGAGAACTTGGTAGAAAGGCCACTTCTCAGACTCCTGCGCAGATATCCCAGAACTCTGGGAGTGGGGCCTAGCAGTCTGCTTTCAGAAGTGCTCCAGGGGCAATAGTGATGTACTCTGAAGTCTGAAAACCACCGCATTAGATCAAAGAGGATAAGCTGAGAGACCACTGTCTGCTCTTAAATCACCTACTAAAATCAAATGTTCTAAAATAAATAAATAAAATAAATAAAAATAAATCAAATCAAATATTCTAGCTCATAAAGTCTTAAGTAAACTATGTTTTAACCAAAAAATACTGAATTTTCACATTAGTGTGACATTTCTGTAGGTAGCAAAATAATAATAATAATAATGGCAGCTAACACATAGTGCTTTATTTGTGTCAGGTACCATTAGAATTGCTTTCCATATATTATCTCATTTAATTTTGAAAACAAACCTATTTTTAGGTGCTATTTTTAATCTCCATTTGACAAATGAGGTTACAAAGAGATTAAGCACCTTGTCCAAAGTCACTCAGCTAATAAATGTCAAGACTTGAACCCAAGTGGTATCCTTCGAATCTCCATTCATAACCCCTCTGTACTTTACCAGTTCTGTATCAAGCACCGTATTTAGACTAGGAGAGCACTGGCCAGGAGAGCTTTCTCTGATGATCTGTGCTGTCCAGTAGGGAGCTTCTAGCCACATGTGGCTCTTGAGCTCTAGAAATGCACCTGATATGACTGAGAAATTGATTTTTTTTAAGTTTAATTTGGTTTTAAATCTAAATAGCCACATGTGGCTAGTGTATTATTTGTTATAATAATTTTCTCCTTAATAAAAAAGGAATAGAAAATACAAGATTTTAGTCCTGTTCTAAATTGGACAAAGCAATCTGCATAATATAGATCATTGGTTTAGAGTAAGAAGTAAGTTTAGTTACCTCTTAATAGAAGAACCAAGTAAGATCATGATTATTAGAATGATTAAATGTGAATTACTACATTAAATGTAATAAGTTTTTCTGTTGTTAATTTGGGGGAATAAATATCCTTCAAATTGTGGTGTTTTCATCAAAAAACATATACGTCCCACGTATGGCCAAGGATATAACTATGAGAAGTAACACAGTAATGTTTTTATGATTTATGGTTTCAGCTTCAGAAGTTGCTTACGATGGACCCAATAAAGCGAATTACCTCAGAACAGGCTATGCAGGATCCCTATTTCTTAGAAGATCCACTTCCTACATCAGAGTAAGTGATCAATTTATTAACTCACCAGCATGGTAGGATTTTTTGGAGCGTGCTTGTTTGAGTTGTCAACTCCAAGTTGCCACTCCTCTTACATGGGGACCTGGGGAAATCCCAATGACAAACAAAAAAAATTAGCTCTGATGTCTGAGCTGTCATTTCGGGCTTTTACAGGTAAGAACCACTCCTGTTCACGTCTTGCTTTATGAAACCTTGCCATCTTTAGTTTCAGTGGGGCTCCAGTTACTCAGTGGCAGGTTGATTATGCATGCTGTAGCTCACTCAGACTCACTGAGATTGCCCACTGCTTGCAGTTACAGTTTTATGTTCCAATTGCAAATCCCATTCCCAAATAAATTTGTGTTCCCCTTGTCATCTTTTATTTTATGTGTAGAAGGGAGAGTAAAAAAAAAAAAAAAAAATTGTGTTCGAATAGTGACATTTCCTCTGGAATCTGTATTTGGGTTGTGATAATAAAAGAGTGAGGCTGGGATAAAAGAAAGTTGAGTCATGTTCGATGATTATTGATTATTTTTATACAATGAAAAGTCCTCCCATGACCTGCTATAATGTCACTGATTAGAAGAAGATTCATCTTGTCACAGTTGCATGAAAGGTGCTTATTTTACAAATATGGAAACAAAGTCCCTCTTAGAAGAATAAAATAAAGCATCTGAAATATTGATTGGCATACCAGAAATCGTTTTTCTTTTTTCTTGTGAGCAGCGTTTTTGCCGGTTGTCAAATCCCTTACCCAAAACGAGAATTTTTAACAGAAGAAGAACCTGATGACAAAGGAGACAAAGTAAGTATTAAAGTACATTTGGCTGCTTCTTGTTTTATTCAATGCTACCGTAACATTTTCTTGTTTGTATTTGGTTCTCCTTCTGAGTTGAACTTTATTTTTCTGTTTAACCAATTGAGAAGAACCAGCAGCAGCAGCAGGGCAATAACCATACTAATGGAACTGGTCACCCAGGGAATCAAGACAGCAGTCATACACAGGGACCCCCGTTGAAAAAAGTGAGAGTTGTTCCTCCTACCACTACCTCAGGTGGACTAATCATGACCTCAGACTATCAGGTATTTCCAATTTATTTTGTACTGACTTGCCATATCAGTATTTGTATATGGGTTTGTGACCTTTGGAAAATGCAGTATAACTAAGAAAATGCTGACCTTTATGTACCTGGGGAAATATACTGACGTGAGTGTTATTGACATGGAAAAGTACTGACTATGGTACAGTATAGGGTACCTACTGACTTTTGAATTAGACAGACCTGGAATGATCCAACTTAAATCATGCCATTTATTAACTATGTGACCTTGGACAAATAATATAACATTTCCTGGCTTTAGTTTTTCATCTGTAAAATGAGACTAGCCAAGCCTTACTTATAGTTCTTATAGGAGTAGAAGTAATAAATCCTAGCCCCTGACTTGGGGTAGGCGTTCAATCAATGCTGTGTATTGTTTTCAAACAACAGCATACCAAGAATGATTAAGAACACAGGCTTTCAGGGGCGCCTGGGTGGCTCAGTTGGTTAAGCATCTGCTTTCAGCTCAGGTCATGATACCAGGGTCCTGGGAATCTAGCCCCAAGTTGAGCTCCCTCCTCAGCGGGGGCTCTGCTTCTCCCTCTGCCTCTGCCCACCCCACCCTCTGCCCTGGTTATGCTCTCACTTGCTTTCTCTCTCACGTAAATAAATAAAATCATAAAAAGAACACAGGCTTTCAGATCCCAACCCAGCCACTGACTTTGGGTAACCTTGAGTAAGTAATCCAGATGTTCTCAGTTTTCTCACTTGTAGAAGTGGATGATGGCAAGGATTAAATGAAAGGACGTACGCTAAGGCACAGCAGCTAGCCTGCTGTCGCGTTTAAGAGATGTTACCACTTCTTTCCGCTTTTATTATCATTACCCTCATTAAAATTTCTAGTAGCATTCGTAGTACACAGTAAGCACTTCTTAAGTGTTGGTGGTGGCGCTAGTGATGACTGTAATCGTAAGAGCTTGATCGTACTTACCATGCCAGCTTTTATACTAAGCATGAAACCTACATTGTTTCCTTTGATCATTATGGTAACTCTGTGAGGTAAGGGTTGTCACTGTCATTTCAGAGATGCTCAGAGAGGTTAAATAACTTTCACGTGTTCACCCGCCGAGCTGGGGGTAGACCCAGGACACGGGCTTAGAGCTGACAGCCAGGGCTGCTCCGTTGCCTGCTTGTCAATCCCATCATGTGGCATCATCAGTTTCTTTGCAGAAAGACCGCTTGGGAAATCCTGTACCACCTCCCTGCTTGTTCTAATCATATTGCCAGCTCACCTGGGTCTCTGTGTGGGAAGGACACCGAAAACTTGACCAATTAGAGTTATTTACCTACTGAAAGAGTAAAGGAGATCTTACTAAACTAGTAAGGTTCCCAGAGCCTGCTATGACCTTTCAGAAATGAGATCTTAACTCTTTGCTTTAGTTAAGGAGAGGTCCCATCTACCAAACCATGGAAATTTTTGTCTGCCTGGGTAGTAACTCTCTTCCAGGAAACTAAACAAGGAAATCAAGGACAGACATCTCTGGGGGTTGATGTTTGTTCCGGCATCTTTTTCTCCCCATCCAGATGGGGAGAGTGCATCCCTCTTGGCTCTAGAACGTGTTTGCACACTGAGGTAATAGCATCCTTAGAATGAAGCAGAGCAGTGCTGGGACCTTCGCTATTGAAACCAAGAAAATTGCTGTGCTTCTTTGTTTCTTGATGTTATCATTGTGGTTGGTTTTTGTAGTGACTGTAATTTCATGTGTCCACTCTTTTTAAAATCTTTAAAATCTTTTTAAAATTTAAAAATATTTTGCTAAGGTTGGCAGAATTTAGCATTATATGATTTATTGAATATGCCTTGAAAGAGGAAAGTAGTAAATTATGGTTAATCAGTTATCATGTTTGTCTTGGGAGCTAATAATAAGAGAGAGAGGTGCAGGAATGGGAATAACAATGTAATAGATCAAAATCACAGGACTGTAAACTCGATCACTGTTTTTTCCCTTTGTGGTCTTTTTAAAATTGAGAATACCATTCTTCTGACATTTCTATAATTATAAACTTTTGTATATAACTTGTTGCAGAAAATGATTCATTAAAGGGCATAAAAATATTTAATAACAAAGAAAAGGATTCTACGCCACCTTTTCTTGTCCTATTCATTTTTATTCTTTAGTCATACATGTGCTGGGAGGCTTCTGTTGAAGAAACTAGCATGTCAATTAGCTTTGAATTTCTTAGTATATATATAAGTTCACGTATAAACATCTCAAGCAAATTGATTATTACTTATCAGATAGTTACAAAACAGCTTAAAAGGGGGATTACTGCTATAGAAAAACAGTGAACTGCACTACATAGAAATAAGACCCAGCTTAATGTTACTTACTGGCAATACTTCTGACCTTAGCTGATATTAAAAGATTGGGGTTTTTTGTCATTTTCATTCTAAAGCCTAGTACATGGCACAAGACTTTTTAATTGTTACTGCCTTGAAAGAAATGCCATTGCAAACCTCAGCCTCACTGGCTTGGGGCAGAGCCAACTCTTAGGAACACCTGACTCTCATTTCTGGCTCGTTCTTCTTTTGCAGCGTTCCAATCCACATGCTGCCTATCCCAACCCTGGACCAAGCACATCACAGCCACAGAGCAGCATGGGATACTCAACTACCTCCCAGCAGCCTCCACAGTACTCGCATCAGACACACCGGTACTGAGCTGCGCTGGAATGTTGTCAATGCACTGTTGCTAGCGCTGCAGGACTGACGGTGCAGCTCTCTGCGGGAACCTGGTATGGGCCATGGGCATGTACTGTACACCCACATCCTCAGGCTGTCCAGTAGCCGAGTTCCACCGCTTTTCACAGACCGGGGTAGTGGCTTCCAAGTTGTACCTGTTTTGGAGTTAGACTTGAAAGAAAGTGCTAGCACAGTTTGTGTCGTGGATTTGCTACTTCCATAGTTTACTTGACATGGTTCAGACTGACCAATGCATTTTTTTCAGTGACAGTCTGTAGCAGTTGAAGCTGTGAAATGTGCTAGGGGCGAGCATTTGTCGTTGTATGTGGTGAATTCTTTCAGTGTAACAACGTTATCTGACCAATAGAACACACACACACACAGAAGTTTAACTGGTACTTGAAACATACAGTATATGTTAACGCAACAAAATAACCCAGACTCAGAGTGAGATTATTTTGGTACACCTTTCATTTTAGTGTCTTATCAGTGGGCTGATTCATTTTCTACATTAATCAGTGTTTTTTGACCAAGACTATTGCTTGGGTTTTTTTGAAAGTACAAAAGCCACATAGTTTTTCCAGAAAGGTTTCAAAACTCCCAAAGATTAATTTCCAACTTATAAGTTTGTTTTTGTTTTCAATCTATGACTTGACTGGTATTAAAGCTGCTATTTGATAGTAATTAAATATGTTGTCATTGATATAAACCTGTTTGGTTCAGCAAACAAACTGAAATGATTGTCATAGACAGTGTTTTATTTTTCCTGTTGGTGTTGCTGATTAGTGAGCATGCTTTAAGATGAAAAAAGCATGAATGATAACTTCCTCTGAAAGGTGCGGCATCCGATTCAGATATTTTGTCCTGATTTTAAAGCTGGTTGGTGTAGTGCTATTAAAATTTTGTTCAGTTAATTTTACTTTTTAAAACTTGTTCGCACGTTGTTTAGGGTGCCCTTACTTCAGCAAAGGAGAAGGAGTAGGAGAGCCTTAGAATTTTTGAGGAAAAAAAAAAAACCTATAACATACAATGTACTGTATCAAACTATTTTACATGAATGACACAAGTATTCTGAATTTAAAAAAAAATTGAACATTGTTAAAAACAAGGTGTTATGTAATAAATTTATTTTTCATAAATCAAAATACGAAGTCGGCTCTATTTTTATATACACAGAAGTGTTTTATTTTAAAGCATGCCTTAACAAGTGGCCTCTAAATAAATCTCTTCAGTTGTTTTCCTTAATAGTGTCTATATATTCAGCCTCCAGAGTAGAGTGGAGTATAATGACTTATGATTTAGATATGGATTCTTTGCTCTGTTGCACTTAGCACTATAATAGAAGATGTCGACTAGACACCTTTCTAATTGAAAGAATTATGATGAGCCTTCCATTTCTAGAATAAGGCCTAATTCTGTGTTAGGCTGGGAACAATTTGTTTTAGCCCAAATAATTATTTTTCCTCCCTCCTTCAGCACAAAACACAGAAGATTAAAAAAGCTAACATAGTTTTTTTCTTAAAAAGTCAGCTCATTCCTATAAAAACATTCTAAAACATTTGAAGAACTGAGGAATTCCAATCCTGATAGGCCTGACTATAGCAGTAAGTATAATTCAGGAGCCGAATCTGCATTTCCATGTTCTGTCTCCCCACCACAGCTCCTCCACCCAGTGTGAAGATCTGATCCTAGAGCTCCGTCCTCAGCACCTTCAGGAGCTCCCCTCTGGCCACAGACTGAGTCAGTCTTACCTAACCATGTCTTCTTGTTTCCCTTCACTCAAATTGTCTTCTATTTTTCCTCCCTGCCTTTGATGCAGTGGCTTCCAACCTTCGTGGGCATGAAAATCATCTGCAGTTTGTTTTCTCTGGGTCTAGTCCCAGAGGTTGGTTCAGGGGAATGGGGAGGGACATGGAATCTTCATTTTTAACAAGCTCCTCAGTTGGTTCTGATGTGGGTGTCTGAGGAAAACACAGGAAGAACACCTCCAAGCTGGTCTAAAGATTGAGCAAACAGTAGCAGTTCAGTCAGTGGCTTGGAGAGAGGGCTGCCCTGTTGACAACCCACCTTCTGCATAAATTTCAGAAGGCAAAACCCATTATAGCAAGTTCCACTGTAAATGTTGGAAACTCCTAGGGCTCAGTTCTCAGGTTTTTAAATTTCTTTATCAACCTCCGTTCTCGGAGTGATCCTGTCCAGTCTTGAGGAGTTCAACATGTTGGTGACTATTAAATTTATATATCCAGTTCCAGATTCATATATTTAATTGCATCTGTGACACATAGACAAATAACATACCCAGACACATACCAACCATCATCCTCTAGTGCATTCCTCGCCTTATTTCTCTACATTGCACCCATCACATATTTTTGACCACTTTCTGTCTCTTCCTGTAGAATGGAAGCTCCGTGGAAGGAGCCCTATTGCATCTCAGCCTCTCCTCTTTCCACTTGCCCCCAGGTAATCTCACCCAGGCTCAGGACTTGGGTAGGATGATGGTTCCCAGATTTCCTATCCAGACCTACCTGCTGTATCTGACTCATTACTGCAGATGGTCTCTAGACTGAAGACATCCAAAGCAGACTATCCAGACCTCCCTGCTGTATCTGACTCATTACTGCAGATGGTCTCTAGACTGAAGACATCCAAAGCAGACTCCTGGCTCCACCATCCACCCTGCTCCTTTTACAGACTTAACCATCTCAGTGATTAGGAACCCCCTCCCTCCGAGTCATCCAAGCCACACAGAAACCTTGGCACCATCCCCTCACACACACTATATCCATTCCATATGCAAATCTTGGGTGCTTCCCCTTTCTAGCCCCAATCAAACTGCCCTCACCACCTTTACTGAGCCACCCTGTGCCAAACCACAGCCACCTCTTCCCTAGACTCTTACACAGCTTCCTGCCTGTTTCCACCCTAAACTCCCTCAGCCTTCTCCACACACACACACACACACACAGCAGCCTGAGTGACGATTTTAACACAGCTCATGGCCCTCCTCTGCTCTCATCCCTCCAGTGCTTCTGGCTCAGTGAAAGCCAGCGGGTCCCTGCACATTCATGGTGGCCTCCTATTTCTTATGACTATCTTCTGTCACCCCTCATGTGCTTCACTCCAGAGGCACTGCTGTCCTTCACTGTTCCTCGAGCCTGCCAAGCACCTGTTGTCTCACGACTCTTAGGTTCTATTCTGTCTGCATCTGCCTCCCGCTCTCCCCAGCTAGTTCTGGGCTCACTCCCTCACTTCTTCAGGCCTGCTCAGATCTTTTCTTAGAGAGGCTTATCCTTTCCACTCTGAAATAGCAGCCTGTTCTCCACCTCCCCACTCCCTATCCCCTTCACCTTACTTCACCTTTCCTCCTAGCACTGACCCCACTGACTTACACTTGCTTGCTGTTTCTCCCCACCCTACCCGAAGATAAACTCCACAAAGGCAGCCTTTTTTCAATGAGATGTAATTGACATGTAACATTGTGTTTGTTTGAGGGGTAAGAGGCGTTGATTGGATATACTCAGGTAAGGCAACAGGATTCCACCACAGTTAGCTAACACATCTAGGCAGGCTTTTTATGTATTACAATAATCCCAGCAACTGGAAGAGTGCCTGGGGGTACACAGTAGTGCTTACAAATATTTACTGAGTGAATGAATGAGTGCATAAGTGACTTTGTGTTTGGGTTTCAAATAGTATCTCAAACCCAGCATATCCAAAAGAGAACTTTTAATCTTCTCTCCCTAGCCACCATCTAGCTTCCTAACTGATGCCTGGCTCCCACTCATGCTTCCACTCACACCATTCTGTAGCCTGCCTTCCACATAGCAGTGATCCTTTCTCTTCAGAACAGTGATTACTACTCGGCATTTTTATACATACATGTTTTTTTGTTTGTTTGTGTATTTGTTTATTGTCTGTCTCCCCCTCGGGGGTAAGGACTTTGTCATCCTTTTAAAGAATAAACTAGAATGGTCATTGTACATGCTCTTAATCCTTCAATGGCTTCCCATCACACTTAGAATAAAGTCAGAATTTCTCAACATTGTCTAAAATAATCCAGTTTGTTAGCTTCCTCACCATTCTCATTTACTCTCTCTCTCCCCCCATCGATTACTCTACTCCAATTACTTTAGACTCTTCGTTTTCCTTGCTATGCTTTCACTTAGGATTATATCCTCCATGTTGTTGAAATGGCAAGATTTCATTCCTTTTTATAGCTGAGTAATATTCCAGTGTGTGTGTGTGTGCGTATGTGTGTGTGACGTCTTTATCCATTCATTTATCCGTGGGCACTTGGGCTGCTTCCATAGTTTGGCTATTGTAAATAATGCTGCAGTAAAAGTGTATGTGTCTTTTCAAAATAGTGTTTTCCTATTCTTTGGGTAAATACCCAGTAGTGAAATTGCTGAGTCATATGGTAATTCTGTTTTTTTTTTTTTGAGGAAACTCCATACTGTTTTCCACAGTGGCTGCACCAGTTTGCATTCCCACCAACAGTGTAGGAGGGTTTCTTTTCCTCCGCATCCTTGTCAACACTTGTTTCTTGTATTTTTAATTTTAGCCATTCTGACAGGTGTAAAGTGATATCCCATTGTGGTTTTGGTTTGCATTTCCGTGATGATGAGTGATGTTAAACCCCTTTTCATGTGTCTGTTGGCCATCTGGATATCTTCTTTGGAAACATGTCTATTCATGTCTTCCGCCCATTTTTTAATTGGGTTATTTGTTTTGGGGGTATTGAGTTGTAACTGTTCTTTATATATTTTGGACACTAGCCCTTTTTTTTGGATATGTCATTTGCATGTATATTTTCCCATCCTGTAGGTTGCCCTTAGTTTTGCTGATTGTTTCCTTTTTATTTTGACGTAGTCCCAATAGTTCATTTTTGTTTTTGTATTCCTTGCTTCAGGAGACATACCTAGAAAAATGTTGCTACAGCTGATGTCAGAGAAATTACTGCCTGTGTTCTCTTCTAGGACTTTTATGGTTTCAGGTCTCACATTTAGGTCTTTAATCCATTTTGAGTTTATTTTTGTAGATAGTGTAAGAA